TCACAACCCAAAGCTCATGACCATAGATGAGGGTAGGAACGTAGATCGATCGATAAATTGAGAGCTTCACCTTTTGACTCAGCTCTCTCTTCACCACAACAGACCTGTACAGCGCCTGCTTCACTGCTGACACTGCACCTATCCGCCTATTGATCTCACGTTCCATTTTTCCCTCATTCGTGAACAAGACCCCAAGATACTTGAACTCCTCCACTTGGGGTAGGACCTCCTCCCTGACCCGGAGAGGGCACTCTACCCTTTTCTGGCTCAAGACCATGGCCTCGGATTTGGAGGAATTGATCTTCATCCCGGCCGCGTCGCATTTGGCTGCGAACTGCTTCAGCGAAAGCTGTAGATCACGATCTGATGAAGCCAATAAGACCACATCATCTGCAAAAAGCAGAGACGCAATCCTAAGGCCACCAAAACGGATCCCCTCAACACTTTGGCTGCGCCTAGAAATTCTGTCCATAAAAGTTATGAACAGAATCGGTGACAAAGGGCAACCTTGACGGAGTCCAACTCTCACCAGGAACAAGCCCGACTTACTGCCGGCGATGCGGACCAGGCTCTGACACCGGTCATACAGGGACCTAACAGCACGTATCAAAGGGCCCGGTACCCCATACTCCCAGAGTACCACCCACAGGGTTCCCCGAGGGATGCGGTTGAACGCCTTCTCCAAATCCACAAAGCACATGTTGACCGGTTGGGCAAACTCCCACGCACCCTCAAGGACCCTGCTGAGAGTGTAGAGCTGGTTCAGTGTTCCACGGCCAGGACAAAAACTGCACTGCTCCTCCTGAATCTGAGGTTTGACTATCTGACGGACACTCCTCTCCAGAACCCCCAAATAGCCCTTACCAGGGAGGCTTAAGAGCGTGTTTCCCCTGTGGTTGGAACACACTCTACGGTCCCCCTTTTTGAATAGGGGGACCACCACCCCGGTCTGCCAATCCAGGGGAACTGCCCCCAATGTCCACGCAATATTGCAGAGTCGCGTAAGCCAACACAACCCTACAATGTCCAGAGCCTTAAGGAACTCGGGGCGAATCTCATCCACCCCTGGGGCCCTGCCACCGAGAAGCTTTTTAACCACCTCGGTGACCTCAGCACCAGAGATTGGAAGGCTCGACCCAGAGTCCCCAGGCTCCGCTTCCTCAGTGGAAGATGTGCCGGTGGGATTGAGGAGGTCTTCAAAGTATTCTGCCCACCGACCTACAACATCCCAAGTTAAGGTCATCAGCACACCACTCCCACTATAAACAGTGTTGGTGGCGTACCGCTTTCCCCCCCGAGACGCCGGATGGTGTACCAGAATCGCCTCGAAGCCGTGCGCAAGTCATTCTCTATGGCCTCTCCGAACTCCTCCCATGCCCGAGTTTTTGCCTCAGCGACCACCCGAGCCGCATGCCACTTGGACTGCCAGTATCTATCAGCTGCTTCCTTGGTGCCACAGGCCAAAAAGGCCCGATAGGACTCCTTCTTCAGCCTGACAGCATCCCTCACCGACGGTGTCCACCATCGGGTTCAAGGGTTGCTGCCGCGACAGGCACGACAACCTTGCGGCCGCAGCTCCGGTAAGCCGCCTCGACAATAGAGGCACGAAACATGGTCCACTCAAACTCAATGTCCCCCACCTCCCCCGGAACATGTTCCAAGTTCTCCCGGACATGGGAGTTAAAACTCCATCTCACAGGAGACTCTGCCAGACGTTTCCAGCAAACCCTCACAATACGTTTCGGTCTGCCAGGTCTGACCGGCATCCTCCCCCACCATCGGAGCCAACTCACCACCAGGTAGTGATCAGTGGACAGCTCCGCCCCTCTCTTCACCCGAGTGTCCAAGACATGTGGCCGCAGATCAGATGAGACGATGACAAAGTCTATCATTGAACTGCGGCCTAGGGTGTCCTGGTGCCAAGAGCACATATGGACACCCTTATGCTTGAACAAGGTGTTCGTTATTGACAAGCCATGACGAGCACAGAAGTCTAACAACAGAACATCACTTGGGTTCAGATCGGGGGAGGGCATTCCTCCCAACCACACCCCTCCAGGTCTCACTGTCATTGCCCACATGAGCATTGAAGTCCCCCAGCAGAACAAGGGAGTCCCCAGAAGGTGCACTTTCCAGTACCCCCTCTAAGGACTCCAAAAAGGGTGGCTAATCTGAACTGCCGTTTAGTGCATAAGCACAAACGACAGTCAGAACCCGTCCCCCTACACGTAGGCGGAGGGAGGCCACCCTCTCATTCACCAGGGTGAACCCCAACACACAGGCACCAAGTTGGGGGGCAATAAGTATGCCCACTCCTGCTCGGCGCCTCTCACCAGGAGCAACTCCAGAGTGGAAGAGTGTCCAGCCCCTCTCAAGGAAACTGGTTCCAGAGCCAGAGCCATGTGTAGAGGTGAGTCCGACTTTTTCTAGCCGGAACCTCTCAGCCTCACACACCAGCTCAGGCTCCTTCCCCACCAGTGAGGTGACATTCCACGTCCCAATAGCCAGCTTCTGTATCCGAGGATCAGACCGCCAGGGTCCCCGCCCTCGGCCACCACCCATCCCACATTGCACCTGACCCCTTTGGCCCCTCCCACAGGTGGTGAGCCCATGGGAAGGGGGACCCACGTCTCCTCTTCGGGCTGTGCCTGGCCCAGCTCCATGGGTAAAAGCCCGGCCACCAGGCGCTCGCCCGCGTGCCCCATCTCCAGGCCTGGCTCCAGAGTGGGGCCCCGGTGACCCACGTCCGGGCAAGGGAACATTAAGTCCATTTGTTTCTCTCATCATCAGGGTCTTTGTTAACAATGTTAACAATGTAATGTTTTTAGAGTTCTAGAATTGCGCCGCTCAAGGTGGCTGCATGTTGGAGCAGCTCTGTTAATTTCATTCTGAGATTTTGCTTTTGGAAACATTAATTCCTCTTTTTCTGGATGTAAATCACATTTTTTTGGACGATTGTTTCTTCTGGTATCGGATGCTGTGCAGCTGGAAGGATTTTGACTGAAACTTTTTTAGTTTTGGACATTTGTTATGATGCATAACCATGGCAACAAGGCAGTTTTCTACAACCAACAGCAGCTGATTAACATCTCAAAAGCTCAAATAATATCTCAACTACAGCCCCAAATCTCAAATGAGTTGAAAGGATGTTCTGTGGACACATTCTCATCTACCTGCCAGCTCGAGTGCCTGACCACTGAGATCCTGGAACTAGCAGGAAACACGGCTCATGACAGCAGAAGGACAGTATCGTCCCTCAGCACCTACAGTTGTCTGTCCGCAGTGACAAGGAGCTCAGCAGACTGCTGGAAGGAGTGGTCATCGCTCTGGGAAGAGTTCTGCCTGGCATTCGGGTGGTCCTACAGCCCAGGGGAACTGAGAGGCCAGCCAAGTCTGGGTGGACGGATCGAACGGCATCTGCAGCCTGTTTCTTAGGATCCACTGTGGGATGGACCTTTGCAAGAGATCCTTCCTGTCTACAGCCATCAGTATCTATAACATCTCTTAATGAAATGAGGATAACGAGTTACAGCAACAAATAATTTCCCTCTGGGATTAATAAAGTAATTTTGATTGATTGATTGATTTGATTGTCACTGCAACTTAACGCGTACATCGCGGTGAGTTAAACTAGAATCCATGTAACGCTAACTTTAAGATATTCATGTGTAAATTTATTTTATCTATGTAGCTAGCTAAACTCAGAAGCTAACTAAAGATTGACAGTAACAGATGAAGCTTAGCTTCTAAAATTGTGCTCATGCATCGGATCAGCTGCTTAAACAGTTCACTAATGTTCAATGTTTATGTTCTCCTCTCAGGAGGTTCTGACCCTGATGTGAGGAGGACAGAAAAAGAAAAGCGAGATGGGAGCCACAGGACAGTCACAAACTTTGTTGTTAAAAGTTTGCTGCTTTTTTCTACAGTGGAGGCTGCATGTTGGAGGTAAGTAAACTTTAAAGGATATTGTTGACCAGTTAAAACTTTTGTCTCTCAGCCTACATAATGTTTTTTGATCAATAATAACATAACCATGTTATTGTTGATGTTTTGTGTTCTCATATCAATTAGGGAGATGATAAGAGCCCTAAACCCCAGAGAACCACAGAGAAGATTCAGGAAGAGACACAGAGGTACAGAAGTCTGCATCAACCCTAACCTCAGTGAATCCAGTGACCTGCTGGTGGAATGTGAGAGACACTATGCCAGTGCTATCAAACTGACAACCTGTGTGTGCAACAAGCATCATCCACACCCTCAGAGTGAACATTTTCTACTGCTGGAAGCACCATCAGCCAGGAGCGGGCTCCTTTGTGTCCAGAGAAAGCAGACATGTTGATTTTTCTGAAGAAAAATTGCTAAGTGAAAAGGTCCTCAGTGTGTAGTAGTGAGCATTAGACACTGACGTGTCACTTATTGTTTGCAACTGTTCTTTTGACCAGGAAATTATTTATTTTTATGTAAGAAAATTGCTTGGAACAGAAATACCAAAGTTAAAAAATAAAGCTTACTCTGTAATGTGTAACGTATTATTATTTTTTTTTTGTTATTAATGAATTAACAGTAATTACAAAATTGGTACCGAAAAAAGAACCGTCCAGGAACCGACACTGAAGTGAAGGTACCGACACCGGTACAGATTTTTTTAGAAAGGTACCCAGCCCTACCAAAATGGAAGCCAGTACCTCATTTATTTTTCAAGTTGTGCTCAAAACATGAACTGGACGGACAGTTGGACGGTATTTCCAAGTCACCTCTTTGTACTGAGATGGGGGACAAACATCTTGTGCCATCAGTTAGTTCTCTTTAATAAGTTGGGAATGACTCGCAGCTACTACCGCATCAAATTTTCACTCAGTCTCTGTAAAACTGACACTTATGCTGTGTTTGCTGTGGCAGCAAACTTGTCACCAGTGGTCAAGACACAGTGGTTCATGGGATATATTGCTAACATTACAGACAAACACACACACTAAGAGTGTCCGCAGTGTGAAACCTACCAGTACCAGTTGGTGAGAGTCATCATGATGTAAAGTGAAGCCAGGAACAGCATGAAGTGGAAAAACGAGTAAGAATACGTGACACCGTCTTTCTCATTGTCCACAGCTCTATTGACACCGCTGTCCCCCTCAAAGTTGTCTGTCTGAGACCCGTCCTCAATCAGAGCAGACTCATCGGTGGTCAGAGTCAGTTTGTTTACCTGGGTATTGGACGAATTGCGAATACTGACAGACAAACAGAAGTCAAACGGGACAAATAGAGGACAAACAGAGAGAAAACATTTTATTCTCCAGAAACACATCAGATTGTATTTTGTAACTTAAAATCAGCTTTTCTACAAATGTTTCTGTTTAAATCAAAGAAGTTCCTTACCTGGAGTATAGCACACACATAAGAAAAAGGATCAATCCCACAATTCCTTGGGCATCCCACCACTGAACCACATGGTCCTGACCTGCAGGAGTGGTGCTGTTCAGTCCGATAATACCCAGAAGGCTCGGGTTGCATTTCCTGTCTGTGAAAGAAAGAACAAAACTATTTGTTTCAACCATTACATCAAGTCCACTAGAGTCCAAAACACCATCAAATTTTATCTCCCCCCCCCAAAAAAAAAAATCAACTATAGAGTCCAAAAATCCTTCAGACTTCATATCCCAACAGGTCCACTACAGAGTGCAAAACACCATAAGACTATTTATATATTTTGAATTATTTGTCTGTGATGGACTGGAGACCTGTCCAGGTGTCCCCTGCCTCTCACACAGTGATGGCTGATATGGGCACCAGTGACCCCCGTGACTCGAAAAGGAAGAAGTGGACAAAGATGATGGATGGATGAATTATTTGTTCCTAGATTTTTATTTTTTTAGAAAAATTCAGGCAACTAAGCTAACCTAATACTGGTAATTTAAGTTACAGAATTTTATGCACTCCTATATTTTTTTCTATTTTTGGTATAAATATAAAATTAATCATAAATATTTGATACAGTAAGGAACCTAAAATGATTGTTTTAAATAAATGCTCTATTTGTTTACATTGTTGTTTAATCTTTTCAACTTGTCAGTTACATATACATTATAATTGAAACAAAATTTATGACCATTTCAATAGAAAAATTGTTTATGAATCTAAAATCGTTTCAGAATCGAAAAATCAATTTTAAATTGTATTGTGACACCAAAATTCGGAATTGAATCGGATCGCCAGACACAGAGATTCGCACCCCTACTGCCTTCAGACACAGGTCTCCTTGCAAAAGAGATCTGTGATCTCAATGGGATTTGCCTGATTTAATAAAGGCTAATAATAAGACTGCATTAAATCTTTTTTCCATACTTTATCAATCCAGAATTACTCTGGTCATTTTCCATCAGTTTGTGTTAGTTTATGGTCCTAGGGGAACAGATGTTGATTATTAGACTCGTCAGTTTGTTCCTGTCTCGTCTGAGTTAATGTTGTTCTGACAGCAGCATGTTTCAGACATTCAGTGGTATTTTCTTTAGATTAGACTTCTGACTGAAACAAAGCATGTTTCTAAAGACCAGAGGCAGGATGCACATGAAGCTGCAGTACTGGTGGAATCAGAGAGTCAGGTTCCCTTACCGGGCTCATTAGTCATTGCAGACCAGGTCAGGTACATGGTGTAAAGGGTAACAAGGGAGGACTGTAACAGACCGGACCGAGGCTGAGACTCCTGTACACACAGCAAACACCATCAGTTAGAAAAAAAAAAACAGTTTCTCTAAAGGGATGGGACGTGCCGTCTTCTCAAAGGGACACGCTGTCTTCCTAAAGTGTGATGTTTTGTTTGTAGGAAAGAGTCTGAACCTGAATTTGTGGAAGGATGGACAACACGGAGGCTGCGATGCAGAGGAGCAGGTTGATGCTGATGAACACCTTGTTCTCAGTGCACCCATCAGTGTGGGTGTAGTAAATGTAGAATAAGACCAGAGACACCAGAGACAACAGGTAGTTCAGTGCGGTCACTGATAGAAGAGCTGGGAAAACACGAGACAACTTATTGTAGGCAAATGTCTGGTACACACCAATACACAGCTTTCAAAATGTGTACCGTAGACACCAGTATATTACGAGAAAATGAAGAAACGTGTTGCTTCCTGTTTGTTGACTAGATGTCGTACCTGCATACCAACAGCGAGAATTTCCCTCCTCCATCTTCTCCACCCACGACTCGTTCCAGGAATGGGCAAAGTCGATGAGTAGAACCAGCTGGATAAGGATGAAGCAGAACGCTCCAGCCATTCCAACATAGAACCACACTGTGGGACACACCCAGTTACAGCCATGAGCTCTCACTTCAACCAGCCTGTCAGAGAGTAAAGCTCCTGAAACTCTAATTTAATATAATCTGAGAACAATCAGAATAGTTACCGGTGGTGAAGGGTCCCTCTGAAATAAAAAATGATCCAATGGTGATGGCAACAGCTGCAGCAAACTTAAAGAACCAAAACCTACAACAAAAGCGGAAAATCTAAATATTGTCCAGATAATAACACAAACATAACACATGACACAAACTGTCCTAATTAGACAGACACATGAAGGGTTTCTGCTAAATGTTGAAATGTTCATAGAATGCTTATTTTTTTTAAAAAAAATCAATTTTTGTGCCATTTCCACAATTCATCTATCAAAACGTTCAGCTCATTCCTGCTATGACTTTTGGTATTTGTGTAACTTTCACTTTTTGAAAGATTTAGTTTATGTCAAACCATTTTATTTGATTAATTTTATGTGTAATTACGTCTAAAATTTGTCATATGGACTTCGGTTTATGAAGAGAAAGAATAAATCTACAATCAACCATGTATTTAACAGATGATCAAAGATGAGCGTGAAGATGCAGCAGCAGCTGCTACAGCCATCTTACCGTCACCCATATTTTAGTTGTTAATGAAACTATTCTTTTATTTATTTTTAATCCTGGTAAGGGATGTTAAATATACTTTTATTCAGGTTTTCTTCTGCAAATGAAGCATACGTTGGGGTGGAAGGGGGGGGGCACAAATCCCATAATTTCCAGACTATTGAGCGCACCTGAACATAAGCCACACCCACTAAATTTAAAAATAAAAAAATTGTACATATTAGAGCTGGGTGATATGGGCCAAAATCTTTATCTCAAAATTTTAAGATAAATCGCAATATACGATATATATCTCAATATTTTTTCTTTCCATAAATTAATAACAAAAATATATTTCTGACTCACAGTTTTGCCCCAGTTGTCACACAGCCACATTTATTAACAACAGCTGTAACTGTACAAAATAAATGCCTAAAAAATAAACTATTTATATATTAAATAATAATCCTCTTCAGCTGGCGGCAGCTGTGGCTGAGTGGTTAGAGCAGTCGTCCTCCAATGGGAGAGTTGAGGGTTCGATTCCACCAGCAGTCACATGCGGAAGTGTCCCTGAGTGAGACAATGAACCCCTCATTGCCTCTGATGTGTGTCCCATCGGTGTATGAATGTGATAAAGCTCTGATTACTCTTTGTAGAGATCTAGTAGAGGGCACGAGTGGGTAAATTAATGCACAGATTGTGTTGTAAAGAGCTTTGAGTGGCTTGATAAGAAAGAAAGGCTCTATATAAGTACAGTCCATTCAGCTGCACCGCCTTCATGTTAGTAAGCGTGTGTGAAGCTGCGGCAAAGTGAGCATCCACTTGGAACCGTGAAGCTGCAGGTCCGACAGATCCGACTCCTTCCTTAAAGCAAACCACGGTTCAGAACTCATTTAGCCGTGCTGTGCCTTTTAGAGGAACACAAAGAGGAAACGCGACATTAATAAATCAGCAGCTTTGTCATATAGTTAAGACACGGTCCCATCTCAGCTGTGGAACAAGACGGCTAAAGTGTTAGCCGTCTTGTTAGCTGCTAAGGACCGTATCTTTAGCGATATGATAAACTGCTGATTTATTAATGTTGTGCTTCCGCTCTCTGTTCCTCTAAAAGGCACAGCACGGCTAAATGAGTTCTGAACTGTAGTTTGCTTCAAAGAACGAGACAGGTCTGTCGGACCTGCAGCTTCACATACACTCTGCTGCTCGTGTTTACTTCTGCTAAGCGTCTCCTCTGCTGCCCGCCCACCTCCTGGAGAAACAGGAAGGGGAGGGGGAGCGCGACTGAGGGCTGTGTGTTTGCGTTCAAGGAGGGAGGAGGGGGCAAGTGGGAAAAAGAAGAAGGCAGGTGGGTTTCCAAGAGTAAAACTATATCATTTTATATCGAGATAGTCTCAACTTATTATATCGCAAAAAAAAAAATAGATATTTTTAAAATATCGAGATATCGCCCAGCTCTAGTACATATATAGCTTGTCTAAAAACTGTGGGTGTTCCAAGTTGTAACGTGAGATATTTACACAGAAATTTTTTTAACTTTTAATCAAATACATACAGGTAATATACACAAATATGTAAAGTAAATGCTTTTTTCTGAACGGTGCCTGTAACACGGCTGCAAATACTTCGTTGTGCCTCCAGGGATCATGTGTTCTACGTGATCATGAGACGTGTTTTGAGCACCCGTGGGTGACCGGGTGTGACGAGGCTAAATGTTTTGGCTGCATGAAGCTCGTTAGCTCGTAAAAATCCATAAATTAGCTGCAGCATTGTATAAGCCACAGTGTTCAAAGCGCGTGAAAAAATTAGCAGCTTATAGTTTGGAAATTACAGTCAATAACTGCGTTTGTGTTCTGATGCAACACACAGGATGTTTGAATTTAGATTAAAAACAGACCTACCCGTTGTGTAAGGAGGCTCGGGGGTCCTGGCTGCTTTTCACTTTGATCATGATCAGGGAGAATAGTAGGAAGAACATGGCCATGCCAAAACACACCCGGTACACAGCCTTGTAGCCAACCAGCACGTCACAGTTCACGTGACCCTCCACACCAGGAATAGACGATCCAATCCCACCCTCGCAGAAACCTGGGATCTACAAAAGGAGCAGAAAACAGAGGAGGGGGGGTGGGGTCACACCTGTCTGCTCTATAATCAGTGAGGCTGAGAGCATCGAGGAGCATCAGTTGCCAGCTGAGACGGGGAATCAGAGACTCGAGTTGTTTTATAATAATAATAATAATAATAATACATTTTATTTCAGGGCACCTTTCAAAAACCCAAGGTCACCTTACAAAAACAATTAAAATCAGCAATTAATAAAAACAGAATCAACAAATAATTAAAATATGTCATGATAAAACAACACTTAAAACAAAGTTAAAGAGAATATGCCTGTTTGAACAGGTGTGTTTTCAGTTGTGATTTAAAAGAGGGAAGAGAGTCTGTGTTCCTGATGACAGGAGGGAGGGAGTTCCAGAGCTGAGGAGCACAGCGACTGAAGGCTCTGTTCCCCATGGTGACGAGACGGGCAGAAGGAACAATAAAATGAGTGGCAGATGAGGATCTGAGGGAACGGGAAGGAGTGGAGATGTGAAGCAGATCACACTGGTAAGGAGGGGCAAGGTTATGGATGCACTTGAACGTGAGAGTTAAGATTTTAAAATTTATTCTAGCTTTGATGGGCAACCAGTGAAGCTGCTGCAGAACCGGGGTGATGTGTTCTCTGAATGGGGTTATGACCCAAGCTGCAGAGTTCTGGAGGAGTTTGAGTTTATGGAGAGTTTTATTCAGGAGACCAAAAAAAAGAGAGTTGCAATAATCGATCCTGGAGGTGGTCAGGCTAAGGACAAGGATGGCAACAGCATGAGGAGTAAGAAATGGACGAAGTCGGTTAATGTTACATAAACGAAAGTATGCAGACCGGGTGATAGAATTAATATGAGATTGAAATGAAAGCGTATTATCAAGTATGACACCCAGACTCTTTACCTGAGGGGAAGGATGAACATGGGAGTTGTCAATATTGATGGAAAAACTCTGCAATTTGGTTAAAGTGGAGACTGTGCCAACAAGTAAAACTTCTGTTTTCTTACTGTTGAGTTTAAGAAAATTTGAGGAAAACCATGATCTAATTTCCATAAGACAGTCCGATAGGGAGGTAGGTGGAAGAGATGAATTGGGTTTTGAGGAAATGTAGAGCTGGGTGTCATCTGCTTAACAGTGAAAATTGACATTATGTTTGCGGAATATGTGGCCAAGAGGGAACATATAAATAATAAATAAAAGGGGCCCTAATACAGAACCCTGGGGCACACCTGCAGCAACGAGAAACAAACTTGAGGAATGGGTTTTAAATTGAATAAACTGAGTGCGGCCTGAAAGATATGAATTAAACCAAGCAAGAGGAGTATGACTGATGCCAATGGATGCTAGTCTGTTCAGGAGGATATCGTAAGAAATAGTGTCAAATGCCGCACTGAGATCAAGGAGGATGAGAATGTTGAGGAGACCAGAATCAGCTGCCATCAAAAGGTCACTGGTGGTTCTTAATAAAGCTGTTTCAGTACTGTGGTGGGAGCGGAAACCAAACTGGAATTGTTCGTAAAAATTATGTTTATTGAAGTGTGAGTGGAGCTGAGAGGCAACAACTTACTCAAGGATTTTTGAAATAAAAGGAAGATTAGATATTGGTCGAAGGTTATCAAAATTATTAGGATCTGAACCAGGCTTTTTTAGAATTGGAGTGACAGAAGCTGTTTTCAGCGACGAAGGAACAATTCCAGTATTAAGGGAAGAGTGAATGATAGTGGTTATGAGAGGAACCAATGTGGGGAGACGAGCTTTAACTAACACTGTGGGAACAGGGTCAAGCTGGCAGGTGGATGATTTTGATTTATAAATAATATTTGTTACATCAGATATGGAAGGAAGGGTGAAACTTGAGAGTAAATGACGGGAAGGCAGCGGGGAAAACAGGGGGTCAGCTTCAGTGTTAGCAGCTGTTACAGGGTTAAGTAGTTAGTGGATATTGGAAATTTTGTCAGTGAAAAAGGACATGAGAGAGTTGCAAAAGTCAGCAGAGTACATGTGGGAGGGAAATGAGTCCGGAGGCTTAGTAATTTTGGCAAACAGTGAAAACAGAGACTTGGGAGTTACCTTCGCTAGAACTGATTAAACCAGAGTAGTATGCAGATTTAGCTGAGACAATGCAGTCCTTAAAAAACTAAATATGATTGTTATACATTTCTTTGTGTGTAGTGAGTCCAGTTTTTTTGAACAGGCGTTCCAGTTGGCATCCCTTGGCTTTGAGAAGATGCAGGTTGAACGTAAACCATGGTGCTGAGCGAGAAAATTAAACAGATCTGTGTTTGAGTGGAGCAAATGTGTTAAGAAGGTTTTGGAGGTTGACATTATAGTAGGAAGTGAGTTCATCAGTGGTTGAACAGCAGTGAAAAGACGGAAGGTCATATATAGCAGATGACAAAATGTCAGGATCAATATCATTAATTTTACTAAATGTAATGTCACAAGGAGTACAGGTTTTCAAAGCTATTATATTTACATCAAAAGAAATAAGCATATGATCAGAAGTAGGAAACAGATTGGCTTTGCAGTGAGTAGGGGTGACACCAGAACAAACCAAATCCAGAATGTGACCTTTAGAATGAGTAGGGAATTTGCTGTATTGTTAGAATCCAAAACTATCCAGACAGGAAGTCAAATCTCTGGTGAGAAGGTTATTGTCATTTTCCATGTGAATATTAAAGTCACCAACAATAATTATATTGGGAGAGCGAACAGAAAGATGAGTGAGAAGAGCAGCAAAGTCATACAAAAAATCCTTATTTGGCTTCGGTGGTCAATAAACGGTACATAAAATAGTAGGAGTAGATCCAGGAAGCTGAGATGCAGTGTATTCAAATGAGTGGAAGAGGTGGCAGAGACAGGGAGGACTTTCCAGTGCTTCCGATGAATTATCGCGAGACCACCACCCCTCCCCGAGTTGCGGGGGTGACAGATGTAAACAAACTCAGGTGGGGTCGACTCGTTGAGAGAAATAAAGTCATTGGGCTTTTGCCATGTTTCAGTCAAGCAAAGAAAGTCCAACTTACGGTCGAGAAGGAGATCCTGGATGAGATGTCCCTTTCCAGTGAGAGAGCGGACATTTAAAAGACCGAAGTTTATGTTGGAATTGCGATGCTTGACGATAGTGTTAGCCGACCTAGCCAGGTGGGCTAACACACTGCGGTTGACAGCCTGGTCAGATGGGGAGGACGATGAGTTCTGGACCAGAAGGATTCTACGGAGTCAGTGTCATTGGTATTGAAGTTTCGCCGGGACCCTCAGTGGATGTACTTTCGGCGGGGATTAAAAGCAATGTCCGGATGAAGGTGAAGCGCCACAGGTGAAGGGACAGCCAGGTGGAAACGGAGTCGCAGAAGCTCTGTAGCAGTGTACTGAAGGACAGCAGTCACCGGGTGGTGGATGATGGATAGAACAGCCCAGGTGAGGATAGAGCACACACACACCCTGTGGATCCACATCATAATCTGTCCGTTGTCAAACAGTGCAGAAACTCTTTACAAACTTTACAAAAATGACAAAAATAGCAGCTGGTAAGCCGCAGCAGCCAGACGTGCCAGCGTTCACTCAACCAGTTGAGCTACAGCTCTCTGATCTGTTTACACACATTTGATCAGATTCTAATTTCTTGTCAAGAACTATAATTAAGATAATACATTTTTTAGGATCTAATGAAAACCCATAAAGTAAGACATGGACAGTCTATGTCTGTTCTGCTGGACTAGAACCCTTTTATTGTCTCTGGATTATCTCTCTTGTATTTTAGTTGAGATCTTTCAGGATAAACTGAAAATTTGCTTACTTAAATGTTGACAGTAAAAAAAAAAAAAAAAAAATTATCCAGAAACATCTGGTCACTGAGCTTTTTCTCTGTGAGCATCTAAAGCTGATGTCCTTCAGATTATTTGACAGGATTGGTAAAAATGAAACCAATGAATAAAAGTATATCTGCATTGTAACTCATATCTTAGAGTGTTTAAAACTATTTATTTTTTTCTGTGCACACCTCAAAGCATTACAGTGCATCAGTTCACAGGAAATTCCTTTTTAGTCCTGGTAACATCTAAAATGATCCTGCAGCTGCTTCCTTGGAAACTATGAGAAAACAGAAACATCACATCTGTCAGGTGGAGCTACTCCTTCATTTCACTTCAACTGCCAACTTCTGTATTATGAAGGACAATTATTTAAACACCTTAGAGGCAGAGGAGCCTGCTGCATGCAGTCTGTTCTGTTGCTGTTATTACTCTAAACCACCGGGGGGGGACGGGGGGGGGGGCTGATGTAACCCCAAGGAGTCTGGAGGGAAGACGACAAGGAACGCAGGGTTCAGTAAACTGGAGTTACGACGTCTAAAATTTCATTCAAAGTCCAACCATTCCATCTAGAGATGCACCGATCCGATATCAATATAGGTATCAGTACCGATATCGGAAAAAACTTCTGGATCGGGTATCGGTGACAATGTTACCGATCCATTTTCCGATCCAACCTGCAGAGATTCACGATCCATGATGGCTTCAAACTATGGAATGGATTTCCTGAACAGAGGCGTGTCTCATGAGCCCAGAGTAATAAGACCCGCCTCACATTCAGGAAATCCAGTTCATAGTTTGCAGCCAGCTACAACGTGAGGACTGAGTTAGCAGCACTGTGGCTAACGGCTAAAAAACTTTTCATTGAAATATGTCTGCTGTGTGGAAGTATTTTACACTAGAAACACCACAAAACAAGACAGCAACGTGCAATGTCTGCAGAGCCATAGCGCCACATTAAACCACACTAAAGTTAAGTTTTACGTTGGACATTCGGGCTTCAGCATAGCGCTACTCTCGTTGAACCCGAAACAGTCCAATCTGCCCGTCTCTGAGGAGGGGCAGACTGAGCGCGGCTGACCGAAATCAGACTGCTTGCTTCGGATTGAATAAGGAGAAGACATCGCTGAAGCACGGAGCTCGAATCTTTACAGAGAAGATGCTAAACTTCATTGTTATTAACCTCCTTCCTGAG